CGGCCTGCTGCTAGACTGGGTACCATCCTACTTGTATGCTGGGGCTCCCACACTTCGCTTCCCTTGCCTTGCTCGCTTCCCAAACAAGGACCCTCTGCCGTAGGGCTGCGTACCTAAACGCAACATCAGGTACAGGTACAAGTACCGGTACAGAGGTTTAGGTACAGGTCCGGACCTGTACCTGTACCTGAACAATTTGACAAATTAACACGTGTTCTTCACTTTTTCAATCATGACACAAACAATAATAAAGTGTTGACAACTTGTCAGTATCTTCCAATCACAACCCTGGATCAGCCACACTCTCGCGATGTCTCGTGAGACTGAGGATCTCAAATCAATCGACGGTGTTTACGTCTTTTCCAGTGCTAATTTTTCGTCTTTGTGGTAGGATTTACCTATCTTTAGTCATATACATGGTGTAAACTAGCTATTTCGGTATATACTCGTTACTTCATGATCCGGTATTTTGGACCTGTACCGAAACGATTTTTACGGTATTGGACCGGTACAGTGTACCGGTCCGCAGCCCTAGTCTAAAGCCATTAGAATATGAACTTATCTGTGTTGCTAAGATGTATGAAATGGGGAAACATACATTGCAATAGTTTATAAAGCTCAGCTCTCTCTTCGTTGTATAAACTACATTCTAATACACAGTGTTCCTCATCCTGTATCCTATTTAGATTACAATGCCTGCATATTCGTTGTTCCAGTGGAGTGAGGTGACAAAAGAGGCCCGACCTATTAGCGCGTACTTACGCCTCCTGACGGAAAGTGGTCGAATTGCCCTACTTGCCTGTACCCTACTTATGTGTCCCCGAATATCAAAAGATAAAAGGCGCTGATTGGCTAATAGTTTTTGTTTACGCTTTAGTTTAGGATGGAGGATTGACGACGCTTTGCGTTTTTTAGGTAGCCTGGAAAAATGGGCCTGTGTTTACACAAGCTCTCGCTGCCGGCATGCCGAGGGTTAATGACCCCCACCGCAAGAAATCCTCAGGCAAAACGTCGGGGGAAGAATCTTAGAATAAAAGCCATCACAGTTATCTTGACATGAAACTAAAACTGATTAGTGTTGTTCGATGTCTTTGTAACACATTTTCAAGCTAAGTATAACGATAACTAGAAAGGTAACATTTGCAAAGCAAAGGCATAATGTTTACCTACGCATATGGTCTGCTCTATCAATTCTTACTCAAATTCATATAATATTATATGGTCAAACAGGAGTCTAAATCCCTCCTACTATAAGATTGCAACATTATGTAACCCAACACCAGTTACCATGGTGACAGACGTCAACAAATCAGGTCATTGGCCAGGTCAGAGGTTAGTGTTTGGAACAGAAGAAGAAGAGGAAACGTATCAAAACAATATGTTATCCTTCAGTAAACATAATAATCACCACCTTCTTTTTCATTAGGACCTCCAAAGTGCTGAATACAACGCTCCACGTGCAACAGCAAAGCTTCTGCTGGAACTGTTTGGAGGAAAAACTGATGTACGTATACTGGACGTCGCCGCCGGTACAGGGTTGTCTGGAGAAGCGGTCGGTATACATTCATTTAATTCACCAATTTCACACTTCCCATAATGCCTAGTAAAGATCACGGATGTGACGTATGACCATTCCCTCCCCCTTCCTCGATGTAATACTTCCAACAAGTTCTATCGACAAACTCGTCAACAATATTGTTTTGAATTATTTATCTAGTATAAATCGCATGCCATAATTGCATTTTTGTTGAAATTAGAGAAAATGACGTACCTTCTATCGTTTAACCTTCTACCGAAGACTCTCCTACTCACACGGTCGCATTACGTATACCCCCTTCTTACGTCATATCCCATCCATATCCGTGATTTTTACTAGGCATTATGGGAAGTGTGAAAATGATGAATTGGAATTTTACGTGTTTTAAGCAACTCTGTTCAGCTTTATCCCGGGTTTCTGACGTCATGATTCGGCCATATTGTTTAGCCGTGAGTGTTGCATGATGGGATAGAATTTAGTGATGACAGTTTAGTGGGCGGTCATTTAATTGTCAATTTACAGTCTGCAATTACGGCTAAATGTATGAAACAACGGGAAGATAATTCATATATGTTATATTCGGGTATCATACGTGTCTCTACTAAATGTATATAATAGAGTGGATTCATTCTTCAAGCTTACCGAAATGTAGCACATTGCAGTCGTATCTCAATAAGACATCTGAAACTGCATGTAAGGCCACACAGTCTTAATTTCATGGATGATATCCGCGCGCGCATTGATTTTCGTCTGTTGTAAAAATAAAAGAGATAACGTCCTCCGAGGCTCTGGCCAGGCTCTAGGCCTGGGTAGTCCATGGTAGTTAGCAACAATACGGATCCGGTGGTAACTCTGAAGGATAACACCCAGGCTACCGAAGCTCCACGATTCAAGAACTCAGTATGTACTAGTACGCACAGTGCAAAAAGCCATCATGTGCCAGCTTGTCGTATACCTCGCTATGTAACGTTACTGTCGCAAATTCAGGATACCAGCTTTGTATTCAGGAATTAAAAAAAATTCAGGCCAAAAATTAAAAAAAAAATTATTTTTGGCCTGATTTTTTTCATTCGCCCGCGCGCACTAGTTTGGGGGTCGTCAGAGGATGTCATCCATAAAATTAAGTCAGTGTGGCCTAAGTAAAGGGGACAGTATATGTAGATGCAACGTCCCACCAGGTACCCTAGCTGTTTCTGCTGCTGTGATGGCAAAGTTGTAAATCTAAAGAGAGCAGCATTGATATATTTAATAATCCTAGAGGTATGCACACGGAAAGATGTTCAGGGCATTCTTGATCTGAAAAGTGGGCTCGTGTGGCGTTCGAGTCCTGACATGCCTCAGATCTTGTGTCCTTGGAAAGGCACTTTACACGAATTTCCTCACTTAACTCATGTTAAAATGAGTGACGGCCCTGTCCTGTATCTGTCCTCTGCGTTGGCGAAGGCATGAAATAAGTTGAAATAACTTGAGTGTGCTGTCACCATGTCTAGTCATGAAATGTTGGAATTAAAAAAAAGATAAAACGATAACGTTTGCTACTATGGCGATCTTATGGTATCTTTATGGCAGTTCATTAATTACAGAAAAAGTGGGATCCTTTGTCTTCCTCTGTCTTAAAAAAAAGAAGTCAAATCCAGTAGTTTTACCAGTAGTTTCTTAGTAGTTCAGTAGTCCTATGTGTACTAATTGTTTTTTTTTTATACCAAATGTTTCTTCTGTTCCTGCAATTAGCCATCGGGCATGAATTTGCAATAAAACATGTTACTAATTCATTCTCTCTGTCAGTTTCAACTCATTGCCCACCTATCCACCAATTACAGCTTCAAGAAGTTGGATTCCGTTCCATTGACGCCCTCGATCCTAGTGATGAGATGCTCGCTCTGGCAAGGGAGAAAAACGTTTACGGTCGTCTGATCAAGGATTTTCTTGGAACGAATCGTCTGGACATTGGAGATGGTACGTTTATGGTTATTCGTTGGCATTTCATGTTGTTAAAAAGAGAGAAGAAAGGGCAACTAACAGTAGATGATAGGTAGTATGTTCACCAATTTCACACTTCCCATAATGCCTAGTAAAGATCACGGATATGACGTATGACCACTCCCTCCCCCTTCCTCGATGTAATATTTCCAACAAGTTCTATCGACAAACTGCTTAACTATATTGTTTTGAATTATTTATCTAGTATAAAGCACATGCCATGATTGCATTTTTGTTGGAGTTAGAGAAAATGACGTACCTTCTATCGTTGTACCTTCTACCGAAGACTCTCCTACTCGCACGGTCGCATTACGTATATCCCTTCTTGACGTCATATTCCATCCATATCTGTGATCTTTACTAGGCATTATGGGAAGTGTGAAATTGGTGAATAGTATTGTTGTAATATTTAGACTCCTAGCACGTATCATTAGAATATAGCGTTCCAGTACGCAATACCCATGTTTTTATCCTCTTGACCACATTTGGTCACATTTGTGCATTTAGCCCATCTGGGCAAGAACATGCAATAAAGATTCATATCATATCATATCATATCAATCTTTTTGTTACATGTTGTTCCTCTCAATTCGTTACTTGTTGTTACTCTTTCGTTACTTATTGTCAGTCTTTCGTTACATGTTGTTACTTATTGATATCTAACATTTCTTCATTTTGGGACCAAATAACCAGAAATTTGTTGTGAACGTAGAGAGGGGCCAATACCTAATTTTTTTTGTTAGTAGAAAATTCTTCAATCAGTGACTGTATTTTGTAAGGTAAAATCACGTTCGGTGTCGACGGTACAACTTGATCACGGAGTGACCTAGTCTCGCGATAACACGAGACTAGGTCTAGACTTGTGTGGATCTTCTGACCTTCCCGCCTCCTTACGGAGCAGGGGTAGGTAGGACTTGGGCAGCTCCCAACCTTCATTACGATTCATCCCGGCACGTTCCAACTGTATGTGGACCGCTTTCTTGATCTTTCTATGTGCCTTGCGGGATTCTTGATCTATGATGTTAATGATTTTTTTTTCATATCTGATACAGGCTTTTAGAATTGTTTTATTATCTTTGTACTCTTTCAATTCAGGAGAGTACGATGCCACCGTGATGGTTGGTGGGATGGCGGAGGGTCACGTCAAGTGCGACTGTCTGGAAGAGCTCATCAGGGTGGTTAAACCAGGTAAGTCGGGAGTCTTTGTCAAAAACTTCTCTGTTACATAGCGGATCATAATGACCCCCAGCGGGGGTCTTCACGCTTCGTTAAAAATGGAAAAATCTCAAGATTTATTCCAAAGATCTCAATATTTTAGATGAAATCTGGAGACCTTATGAGACAATCTTGAAATTTTTCATGACAATCTCAAGATCTTTCAGAAAATCTTAAGATGAAAATGAAAGGTGTCAAGATCTTTCCAAGATGTTTTCAAAGCATCTTGAGATTTTTTCATAGCATCTCAAGATACTTTAAAAATATCAAGATTGTTGAAAAAATCTCAAGTTTCTTTCAAGATTGCTTTATAAATCATGAGATCTTTTAAAAAATCTTGATATTTTCTAAAGCATCTCGAGATGCTATGGAAAAATCTCAAGATGGTTTATAAATATCTTGGAAGATCTTGAGACCCTATATTTTCATCTTGAGATTTACTGAAAGATCTTGAGATTGTGTCATAAGATCTCAAGATTTCGTCTAAAATATTGATATCTTTGGAATAAATCTTGAGATTTTTCCATTTTTAACGAAGCATGAAGACCCCCGCTGGGGGTCATTATGATCCGCTATGTAACAGAGAAGTTTTTGACAAAATATTGGATATGAACCTCTAAACTGTAAACAGCCAGGCATTAGTCCAAAGTGCTCTGCTCATTCCAATAATAATTTGCTCGCTGTTTAATGCATCTGAATTGTAACCACTTTTATTTATTGTCACCTTCTTTGTTATATTTGTTAATGCATATGAACTGTAACCGTTCTTATGTTATATTGCCATATAGTTTATTGCCCAGTTACGAGGGCTAGTCGGCTAGCGCTACTTGGGCACTCCTATAACACCCTGTACAGTTTGAAAAACCGAATCCAAATCTATCATGAAAGTTCATCTGTTTTGGTAGTTTCATGTTTAAAAGTTAGAACTTTTGATCCAACACAACAGAGTTCTCTCACCCTACACTCCACCGAGACGGGGGCCGACATCGTCTACAAGATACCTTTGACCCAGTGTCGACGTCACACTTCAAAGAAGCCACGTGACAAGCCTCACTGGGTCAGTCTATTGAGGAAGACCAGAGTGACTGGTCGAAAGCTATATGTGAGAGAACTGGTGTTGTGTTGGATCAAAAGTTTTAACTTTAAACAAATCCAAATCTGTCCATTGCAGGAGGATTTGTTGTGATCTGTATGCGGGAGGGGAACCTGAGAAGGGTGCCGGAGTACCATAAACTGGAACCCCGCATGGAGGCGCTGCAGCGCGAAGGATGCTGGGAGTTGGTATCACGTCACGTCTTCCCCAACTACGTAGATGCTGACGATGGAATAATATTTGCGCATCGAGTATTATGATTCATTTTTAATCAAACAAACACCATTGATAATTATTAGCCTCACCATGAAATGCATTGTTTCAGGTTGTGTTTGTTTATTTGGATGTGTGCTTGTATACATGACATAGGTGTAGCACGAAGTTTTGGATATCATGAAATATGCGATGTGGGTATGTCTTGAAGCTTGACCAGTATCAAAGAAATGATTTTTTTTTACCTCAGGTGGCTTATGGCATGTATGGATGTCATCCCCTGGGAAACACAAAACTGATGCGAGCATGTGAATAAAAAAAAAGTTGGGAAAATAAAAGTTGCCTTCATTATGAAATCTACCTGGTCATGAAGGTTGAACAAATGACACAGAGTATGGTATGGCGAATAATATACTTTTCTTTTTATTTTCATTTCTTCACATTTTCCTTTTTTTCCTTGGAAGTGATTTTTCTACCCCATTAGTATCGTTTTCCAATATGATTGTTTTTGCAATTTAGGCCACACCAATTTATCTTATTGGTTCTCGGATTCGCCTCTTCATTTTTTTCTGATTTCAAAAAAACTAGAATTCCGAGATCTCATACCTCCATGAAATATGATCTTGATATGTAAATGTAAATTTCTTCTTTAATTGTGCAAATGACCTCTGCATTAACATGATATATGCATCGTGATGTATGTTAAATTTTGATTAACTTACAGATGTCTCATCATTCACCATTACGAAACCATAGAATTTTCGCATTAATTATGCAAATTAGGTCATCATTTGCATAATTAGTATCTGTTGAAGTTCCGCCTGCCATAGGTTACATACATTACATGTATGTAAGTAGTATAATGTAAAACACTGTACTTATAGAATTTCCTCATTAATTATGCAAATAAAGTCCTCATTTGCATAATTTGCATTTAATTATGTACATCTCTCTCTCAGCTACCTACACACCAAAAATAATGAAAATATGTTGTTCCTGTCTGGACTTATTGGCTTTTAAACATTTCGCCAGAAAGTGTCCTGCAGTTCCAGAACAAGCCGCTAGGGGGCCCAAACTCATATGACTTCTCCTCAAGCACGAGAGCTACCTTCCATCAAAATTTCATGACCCTAGCATGTCCAGATCGCGAGATATCAAAACCGGAAGTTGCGCTGCAGTACCAAGGGAAGCCACTAGGGGGACCAAAATCTCATCATTTCCAGTTTTCGTCACACCCTACCAACACACCAAGTATGAAATCAATCCATCCAGGCGTTCTTGAGTTATCTTGTTGACCAACAGACAGACGGACGGACGGACGGACGGACAGATAAACGCAACTGAAAATATAACCTCCATGACACATTTCATGGAGGTAAAAAGATTCTGGTTCTGAATCAACTAAAAATGCTCATATTTTGCTCCCAACAGTTGAGGAAAGTCATTTTCTTCCTGTTGCAGTTTTGTTCAATCTATCAATGCAGTGGTTTGATGAAAAGTTCAAAATTCGTTGTTTAAATAGTAACCCAGCCTTCTGTGTTGACTTCATGGCTCCAATTGTAGTATTTGGGGCTATACTACAGTAATAGGATGTCTAGATCTGTTTTTATTTTTATTTTTGGTTCTCGGATTTTCTGAAAAAAATCCGAGAACTAACATCCAACAAATTAAACTGGTGTGGCCTGAACTCTACAACGGTCTACCCCTGATCACCCAGACCATTCAGAACAGACGACTGGCCCTTGCCGGTCATGTGGTACGCCACGAAGAGATGGCTGCCAAAGTGCTTCTCTGGCAACCGGATGTAAAAAGAAGGAGAGGACGTCCGTGCCTAACGCTAAAGAAACTGATCGAGGAAGAGGTTGGCCTACGGGATGAGGAACTTCTGTCCGCCATGTGCGACAGAGTCATGTGGAGAGACATTATGAATGGCACCTCAAAAGAGGATGACCTGAACTGAACTGGCCTAATGGCATGAATTTGCTCAGTTTGCAGCCGTTCTGTCCCATTCACATGTACACTACGGTTGAATACGTTTGGAAACGGCCGGAAATTAATGCGCGCGCGACGGAAATGAATGTCATTCATATACTAGTACTCAAATCAACATGATGGCCCGATGATAGCAGGTGGGTTTTCCCAGGGTGTTAATAGTTTGTTTTTTCAAGAGTTCACTCTTTTGTTTATTATGTTTACCGAAGGGAAACATATTGTTTTTGCTCCGTTTCGTCCTCTTTTTCTTCTCCAGTGACCTCTGACCTGACCAATGACATGATTTGTTGACGTCTGTCACCATGGTGACTTGTGTTGGGTAACATAATGTTGCAATTTCACGGTCTGCTATGCTCCAGTCACCACATACTAGTAGTACATGTATGTGAATGTGTTTGAGTAAGTAACAGTCAGAGAGCAGGCCATACAGGTAAACATTATGCATTTGCTTTGCAAATGTTACTTCTCTAGTTATATTTCAGTCCATACCATGGTATGGATGAAATATATTGTGTTCCCTCATGTTTCTCCTCCTTCTCCTGCCAAACAGTCAAAGGGATTCAACTCAGCCATCATTCAGCCAAATGACCTGAAATTTGGCATGGAGGTAGAGTGGGCAAATACCCCCAGACGTTTTTTTTTCATTTTTTTGAAACATGCCTTTGAAAAATTTTTATGAAGGTTTTTTGGGGCACTTTTCAACAAAAAATGGATTTTTGGATCCTGAGCCCTGGTATTACAACCAAATGATCTGAAATTCGGTATAAGGGTACCTTGAACGTGTGTCTACAGAATAGTAGTCACATATTTGGCATACACCACTTCCAAATGACTCATTTGGGGGACTTTAATGGCTATTTTCAGCAAAAAAAGGGCCAAAAGTGCTGTACCTGTTCCATGTTCTATCTAAAGAATGGCCGGTTCCATCCATGGAACACGTGTTCCATTGCGGGTTACCTGAGGTCACATTGCACAATGACCCACAAATTCAATTTTATGTGCCTAAGACCTTCAAAATGTATCAAATCTCATCATTGTTAGTTTTTGCATACCTGTAATAAGATTGGTAAAGCTTTCGAGATTCAAAGTACTTGTTGTTGCATCTTTGTTTTCATATAGCTACTATTAAATTCATTTATTTGAGAACCTTTGCCAGTTTTGCACTGGGGTAAGTTTGGAATAGTCCACTTTTGCGTGGGAGGGAGATGGACTGAAATATGCTGTACTTGCTCCCAAGCAAATGTCGGCCTTTCTAGTTTATTTACTCTTTTGTTCATTTCAAAAGAGTCCGCTCGAAAGGCGGAATTGAACCGCTCCGACGCTAGTCGGCTACAGGTTTGAAGCCTGCACCCCGGGACCACCGAGGGTCATTCGAGCGATGACATTAAATGTACTGCTCCTTATACATACCACGGCTGTTTTATGACACTTTCACATGTGGGCATAGTGTTGAGTTTCTTTATCTATGAATGTTTAAAAAATTGGAAACCCTTTTGGTATGTTCGGTACAAAACGACCGGGTAAATTGTCTTTATATAATCGTAAGGTACTGTTAGATTTTTATTTCTCCTCACCAACTGCATTTCCGATAACTTTGAAATATCTGATGCCGGAATGCATTGTGGGTAAAACAAGCATTTTCCATGACTCAGCATTTCTTGAGCGCATGTGGTGCCAAGTACACAATAGTTTAAAGCTAAATGGTTTGAACCATTTTCAAGAAACTACTTCAAGTTCAAGGATTAAGGGTGATGACATGGATGGTTGTGTAGTCTTAATATGATTATCAAATATTACCTGAATTTTAGCTTGTCACTACATTGTAAGTGCTATTATCAATGTTCAAATAGCCAAATCCAATATAATAATGGCAAATGTTTAGTTATAATGCGATTGGGTAGTCAAAAGTATGATACCAAACCTTATTTTGTACAAGCATACTTCAAGCACACAGAAATAAAATTTGTGGATATTGACAGAATGAGATCTAGAATAGAACATCAATTTTACTTTAAGAAATTGCTCAAATATGCAACTAAATTTGTCTTAAATCCCTTTCACATTGTGGAAATTCCAAATAAACAAATCTAAAATTTACTTATATTAAAAATAGCTAGCAATAAAAACACATTGAGCAATAATATCATTCAAAGGAGACATTTTAAACATTTTTGTTTCAACCTCATTTATTTTCACTGCCAGCAAATATCACATAATTCTTTTTTTAAGCACCATACATTCCACACAATAGATTAGCACTAGGCAATCCGGAATAATTTTGCTGAAATTCATAAATTACACAACACTGAAAAAAAAACATATGTAGAAGATTGTACTCTGTAGTGCATGAAATGCTTCATCGACATCTCTTTTTCACACTTCTAATAATTCTTTTTGCTGCTACAAGGTGGCAACATGGAACATGAAGTAAAATGACCATCTCTGTCTCTTGGCACCTACAGGGGGGGCCCGCAAGGCCTTTTCCGTAGAACGTAATCGGCCGTTTTAATTCTACGTAGAACGTAGACGGACCGCTCTAATATTTTTGCGTAGAGCGTATTCGGCGTTTTAATTCTACGTAATGCCTTGTAGGCACTGGGAATTTATCGTAAAGCGTAATCGAGAGGTTTCTGAATTCAGAGTAGAGCTTTGTCGGGACCTTCCCTTGCAGACCCTCCTACAGGCCATGTGTAATTAAAAAGAACTACATGTAAGGCACCTACTGATTATGATGTTCTTAATGCATATCATGATTCAGTATAAGAAAACAAAGGAATGTTCTGGGCTAAAAACAGTCACTAGGTCAAAGTGCACATTGGGCTTGAGCGATTCTTGATTCTAGGAAATTTCCAAATCTTTACCATCTTGTAGACATTGTAGACAAAGTGCACTGGCAACAAACATGAGAAAGAAAGCCATGGCTTAATCATTAACTGCTGTGTACTCTGGCTTGAATACACACTCTTTGGAACAAAGCCAAAGTGTGAAGCATTCACCAGTTTCCCATCCCCAGAATGCAATGCAAAAACAGGGGTCTAAATACATTTGCATAGGACAGGAAGGCATCGGAATGATCCTGGTGATGTTAAACAGGTTGCTATTTGTTGTCAGATTCAACCCATAGTAATTTGATTAACCTTGAGCATAAAATGTCCCAACACCTCAAAACACACTGAAAAACCAGCTGGATCATTCCGATGCCTTCCTGTCATATATGCAAATGAGGTTTACACCCCTTTTTGGCATTGCATTCTGGGGATGGGAAACTGCTGAATGAAGGCCTTCTCGGAAACTACAGCTTCAGCCCTTCAGCCAGACTGCAGGAGAGACCGGTTCCATCTGGTTCCACGTTCAGCTGTTTCACCTCACCGTCTTCCACCAACATGGAGTACCTGCAGCGGCAGTATTTATTTGTTTGTTTGTTTGTTTTACATGAAGCAAATAATGAAATAAATAATAGGCACCAATGCATAACATTCCAGTTTTGTACGGTCCTTACATGCCTACAATGTAGTATTCAACACAACCTTTCTTGCCAACTAAAGACAATAGAAATTTAACAAGAAACAATCCACAAGGTTGTGTTTTGTTTCAACAAGATCTAGAGATAAGACCACCTAATGTTCTATCTGTCCTGTTTTATTTGAGTAAAGATTTTGAATCTACATGTATTGTTACTGAATAAGAATAAGAATATTATGATAATTTGCCCAACTGATCAGGTACAGGTACTTAAACCCCTGTACCTTATGTTTACATTTTGTAGGTACACAGCCATAAGTCAAATTAAAAATTCTCGAGGGAAGGCCTTTCAGTTTGCTGACTATTAAATGGGTACAAAGTGCCTCCATCTTATCAATTCGGTGATCTACATGTATTGTACTAAATGGTCATGGGGCACCATGAAGATGTACATTGTACCTAAAGAAGGATTTTGAAAGTGAAACTGGATGATAATGATAAGGTATGTTTTTTAGAATGATTGCAGTTACTGTTTTTATAGGGTCCTGCCCTGTATAATGTAACATCTGTGTCCATAATATCACCAGGGTCCATAATATCGCCACCTTGAGAAACAGTGTGCTTAAAAATATTTTTACTGCAACATACCCTAGGTATGTACCTTTGATGTGTGAAGAAGTGCATACCAAAAGTATGTTGCAGTAAAAATACATTGTATCTTTAAGCACACTGTTTCTCAAGGTGGCGATATTATGGACCCTGGTGATATAATGGACACGGATGTTAGCAGTGGCCAAAAATATACCTTTTTATGGAAAGAAGAGAAAGTAAGAGGGTTCCAAGAAAAAATTCTTTGCCCCTTTTGCCAGTCACAATTTACAGCGTGGTATTTTTCTGTTTTGTTTGCCAGGCCAGAATTGGTTGTACATTCTATGCGTGTAGACTAATGTTATCTATGGGTTTTGCTTTTACACATCTACACAGAACAGAGCACATCGGCAGAACGTACTGCACCTGCGTAAAACCTGTATATATACACAACACTTTGGCAGAATGTCTCATATAAGGTTAACATCCCATCTGTACGTTTCCAAATGATATGTTGAAAAATACATCTTCTGCAACGGGCAAAATTCTCATTCAACATCGACCAAATATCCACAAAAAAATGTGAAAAAATTGGAGTTTCGCACAGAGCAGTACATTCCGTCGATGTGCTACAGTACAGTATATATGTAGTAGAGCCAAAAATGTCTCTAAAACGTCTAACGGGCATTTAACATTCTCGAAAGTTCGGCACATTTTTTAAACATTTGTAAGAATGTCTTTCCCAGGTCTTTACAGGTATCTTTTTGGGGAGGACTTGCTTGTTGTGTTTTCCATTGTTCATGAGGTGTCTGTCAGAATGTCTTTAGAAAAAACTGTGAAAACTGACATGCATATGAAAAGCACTGCACAAACCCAAGACAATTTATAGGGCAGGACACAAGTAATTAACGGACAGATGCTAATATCTTTATAAGTGTGCATTGTGAACAAAGGACTGTCTTCTAGGGGTGTCCCTACCTGACATGTGAAGAGACTATGGATATAAAATGTCCACCTTGGGTTATTTCGATGTTGTTTTTCAGTAACTATGTCTACTATTAGTACTAGTACTTAATGTTCTCCCGACTGGCCTTTGTTCAGCAATGTCTAAATCATGTCTAATGTCCGTTAGACGTTTTATAGACATTTTTGGCTCTTAAAAAAGGTGCCATACTACCTCTTGGATCTGATGTTTCCAAGCAGCCCAGTTGCATCCAGTTCTAAGCCAATGGCCTGGAGTAAATAGAATAAAAAATTCAATATCAAAACTTCATCATAATGATGTCATGAAACCTAAGTAATAATTTAACAATTCATGGCAATATACAACATTGAGAAGAATATACTGTACATGCATAGTACATGTATTACATAACATTAATAAGGCATATTCAATTTGTGCGTTTCTCAGATTCGCCCACTATATATTTTTTTTCTGATTGGCAAGAAAAAAGGATTCGGGGTCTTTATCAACTCCAAATAGCTCATATTTGGGCCTAAACAGTTGAAGAAAGTTCCTTGTCTTCCTAGTAGTTGTTGCAGTTTATCCATATCAATGCATTCGTTTGTGAAAACGTTGAAAATTGTTTGATTATTACAAACCAGTTTGTTATGCTATCATAGAAGCATTATAATATTATATTATAAGCCTGTTTTTTTTGCCCTGTCTTAATATTTTTTCCAAGAAAATCTGATAACCAACAAATGAAATTAATGTGGCCCAACGGAGAGAAAATGCATTACACATAAATGAGTAACAAGTGAAATAAGAATTTATTCTAAAGCCATTTGCAGGTACATGTTGTAGTGTTTGTATTTTCTGCTACTATTTTATTAGAATGGGAGATGAATTATCCAATGATTAGGACTTTTTTTACCATATTATTAAGTGAAAATACCTTGGTGAATTCTGCTGCAGAGTCAGCCAGCATACGGACCTGGATGGAATATACAACAAATTTAAATGAATGTGTTTTGAGAATACTTAATGAACACCAAGCATAATTACTCATGTATGTCTATCACAACATTGGAGTGGAAAAAAAGCGCCTTTAGTACCTCCATATACATTGTATTACCTCCATGAAAAATGGAGGTGTTGTTTTTGGTATGTGTGTTTGTGTGTGTGTGTGTGTGTGTGTGTATCTGTGTTTCTACATGGCCCTTGGGTCACAGTTGTTGAGAAACTTTTTTTTGGCCAATTACTAGCATATATGGTAGAAACTTATATTGTCATTAATGCAATTAACCCAAAATTGTACATTAAAATAATGTAATACACACCTGAAACTTACTAAAAGATGTATTGTCAGTGGGGCATGATAAATAGTTTTCCCAACAGCCAAAATAGTCTGCTTGCCTACTTGTGTGAAAATTGCTGCATTCATAATTTCATATTCATTTTTGGTTACCGACAGCCATTCAAAAAATGTTACCAGCACTTGAAACACAAACTCCCATGACTTTTATGTAATAACATCATGCAAAAAAGAATAATCATCATCAATTGAGCTGAATGTTTTTGATGTTGTTTTTCCTGACTAGGCTTTACACATTATAAGCTCACTCAACTCAACTCAATGCAGAGTGTTCTCACTTTCAGGAACCCCTCCCTTGGCTGACTTCATCCCTATCTAAGCCTACATATATTATTATTTAATAACTCCTTTACAAAATCTGGAAAGAGGCTTTTAAATACTAACTTGATACCCATAATATATGTTTTTAATGGTTAAATCCTTAGTAGGCTTTCAAGGCACAGCAGGGTGTTCAACCCAGAGGTCCTTGGTTTGAATCCTGCAATGTCAGTGGTAATACCCTTGGAAAAGGTACTTTGCAAGACATTCCTCATCACTCCACCCAGGTGTGAAAATGGGTACTTGACTTTGGTTGGGGAGGTAAAAGGTTGTGGAATCGAAGTAGAAGGGATAGGCTCTGCCTACCAATACTGTGCTCTTCTGACACAACCCACTGCCCCTATATACGGCCTCAAAAACAAAATAGCCTGCTTACCAGACATATTATACACTTCCTGAGTACTACATCCTCTCCTACTGTATTTGCGGAGAGGATGTAGGACTCGGGAGCTATAATAGGTCTGGTAACCAGGCTACAAAAAATAGGCTAATTGGGATTACAACTACCTTTACCACATCAAGGTAAAGACATGTAAGGCCACAGCAAGTAAATTTTATGGATGACATCAGCGGACGCATTAATTTTCGCCTGATTTTGGAAAAAAAACAAATTATGTTGCCTTCTGACAGTGGTGAACATGCCAAAAATGGGCAAAGATGTCTGTTGCCATGCCGGCAGGTGGATGACAGATACAATGTAAGTATTAATTAGTATGAAGAGAGGAGACAAGAAAAGGCTCTGATTTAATGTTTTGTTTCTTACTTTGATGCAGTGATATGTGATGCTGACTGTGTGTATGTGATGCTCCCACTGAATCAAAACCATTTGTACAATGATTGAGTCAAAATTTTAAAATGTAGGAACCTTTGTTTTATTCGCCCTCTCGCATTACTGTTGGAGTCTGCGGAGGATGTCATCCATAAAAATGACTTGCAGTGGCCTAAGAGAGAAAATCCCACCTTCCCGTCTGCCTTCTGGTCTTTCCCCCAGGCCTCCATCACAAACGGGTCGTTCACCGACACACAGGCGATCACCTGCACACCTTTGGCCTTCAGGTCTCCAGCTTTGCTCACATACCCGGGAAGATGTGTCTGAAAAAAAACATGCACAATTTTTATCATGAAAGTTCATCTGTGTAGTTCAACTTGGTTAAGTAATCATAGTAAAAGGTTGAAATTTATTCGAACACACAATTTTACAGGGATCAAATTTCAGTGACCACTGTCGCCTTCATCAGGATAATTAATGACCAATCACTTCACAACGTG